CATTATTGCCATGGGAGCAATAGTTACTCATTACAATAAGTCATGAGTAAGCAGTCATCTTTTCTACAATGCCTGTTACTCACTGCCATTCTTGGAAAATTAATACCATATATACTTGGGGATAAGCTGGGAATTTTAGGTGCCAAAGTACACCCAAAAAATCAGGTCTGGCTTATGCGCAGATGGGCATATCCATGAGTATATATCGTAATACTTTTTAAAAGTACTCATGTTTCCCATATATACTCGTAAATAAGCTCATCTGTGTATAAGTAGACCCTCAAATTTTTAACCAAAATACCATGAAAAATGTGGGTCAGTTTGTCCATGAGAGGCACATTTTTCATGGTATTTTGGTTAAAAATTTGAGGGTCAGCGAATCCTGCACGGTTGCAGCATCCCACAGTCACGTGATCGCCATTTGCTGGCTTCCCCATTGACTTTGCTTGTCAGAAGTCAGCAGTGAAGGTTGCAAATGGCAATCACATGACTGCAGGATGCTACAATGTCATATCTGCTAGGTGGTTGCTGAGCGCCTGAATTGCGATCACATGACTGGGGATGCTGCAGCAGCCACAACTACGAGGACCTGTCATAAGCCCCCTCATTCAGCACTGTTGTAACCTCAAACAGTTGCTGAACAAATGGTCATTCAACGAGGACTACCTGTATATGATAATATTGATAAAATTCAGGTTTTTTTAAATATTGGGGCACATTTTTCCCAGCTTTGATGACCTGAAATCAACAGCAAAGGGGTTCCTCACTAGGCCTACCCTAACCCTAACCCTTGTAAACTTTCAAATGCAGTTTGGTGTTTCACTAACTGTAATGGCTGTAATTGTATCGCAATTGCGATGACTATTTTCAGAGCCAGTGCTATTAGCCACGTTTATATGGTGCTCAGATTTATTATTATTGTAACATAAGCTCTGCAGAAGAAGTTCAGTTTAAAGTTTGAGAGCTTGGTTGCAGTATCAGATTTCTTCCTGAGATTGGAATGTGGCCTAATTTCTGTGGAGACCCATGTGCACCTTGGCCACCTGAAATATTGGATCAAGTTAATATTTTTTGGCTTCCCTGACTTTGTAGGGCAATCTGTGAAAATGCCTGTCTACATCGCCAGAGGCAGGCATCTTCATAGATTTAAAATATTATGGGTTATGAGTCTACCATCTGCCTTTGCTTGGCCCTGAGAGAACCTGTTCTGAGTTGAAGTGAAGTCCCACCACACTGGTATCCAGCGTGACCTACATTCCTGGGTGGAGGAGGTTTGTTTGCCAAGGATGTAGCAAACATTCTCTGCCTGTGCCATTGAAGAGCTTTCATTCTTGCCCACTGCAGTGTTTTGCCAACTTCTCAGTCACACCCCTGCATAAGAAGAACTTTGCCCCCTGCTTGCTGGAAGAAATAGAAAGCCTCTAGTGTGCTTCTATATGGCTTGGTGAGTCAAGCTAATGATGTATTTTCTAATCCCCTCTCGTGCCAGCTCAGAGGAAGAGATTATTTTCCTTTTAGCTGATAGGTCACCAGTTATCTCCAAAAGAGATTTGATGCAATTGCCATTGTTACCAGATACTCAACTGTTTAGCAGTTTGAATCACTGTGATATTTCTTATTTAAGCAGTTGCCTATTACATTCAGTTATCCATAATAAGTTTGTCTGTTTTCCAGTATGTTTGTTTTGGTCTTTGACCATAAAATGAATACATGTACTTGATCTTGCTACAAGGTCATCCAGATATGCTACCCTATACCCAGATGACCTTGTAGCTAGATAAAATAGATGTATTTATTTCTATGGTTAAAGACCAGTATCTCTATGAGAGCCTTGTTAGCTTGGAGAGGAGGTTGGAATCTATTTTGAATTGATGGCTCCTTTCTTGGGTTTTACAGTGATCGGGATTGAAGGGGGAAAAGGTGATTTGGAGTGTGTGGTGGCACTCACATAGCAACTCTGTAAGAACCTGTATCCCTTTCAGGGGCAATTGGTGGGGGAGAGACAAATACATAATTAGGCACAACTGCACAATCGAAGCGCCGTCCCTTTTCAGTGTGTGTTGCATGTGTTGCATGCACACAAAAGGAACAGCCTTCTATTGTGTGGTCACATCCATCATATTTATTTTTTAAAACCAATGAGGATGTCGCTGGTTGTTTCCTGGGCATGCATAGCATGCACAATCCCAAGAAAAGACACCTTGGGTTGAAGGAGATGCCAGCCGGTGCTACCTTTGCACTTACGGGTATTCTAAATTATCTTCTTCCCTTTGAATCCAGATTCCTGCACAGACCTAAAGGCTTCCTTTTAAGATCCTCCAGAGGCCCTATATGATTCTGGCCTTTCCATAAGAGTGGGCAGAATCGAAGCTGAATTAGTAAACCTGCATCAAACTCCCTATATTGCATTTTTAGACATAGATACACAGACGCTGGGTTTTTTTTCCCCAAAGCCTAATTGCAGCACGGAGAGGATTTTTATCTCAATAGAGTGTGTTGATCATATGAAAACAAAACTCTTTCTTCCCTCTCCAGTTGAAATACCCTTCTCCATACCATCATTTCCCTTCTAGATTTTGACAGGAAAATACCTTATGGAGATATCAGGACTACAGCTAGGGGCCTGTTGGTTTTCCTGATAGACATCTCTTTATTTTGTTTGTGTGGTGCTCATTGAATGATCAGCCTCAAGGCACACGTATAAATGTTTAATTTTTGAAATAGCACCTAGGAAATTTCAGACACTTTATCAGTAGTAAGAAGTATATTTCATCATACAGAATTCTGTAAGCACTCCCCACTGAAATGAATGGGAGTTGTATAAGGACAGCACTGTGCTTTTGTTGAATTAGGTAGGTAGAATGCTAATTGTGCTTCTGAAAAATAATGGGCAAACAAGACAAAAGTCCCCCCCACACACACACACATAGCAGACATTGCCTTCTGTGCTGCAAAAAAATAGCATCAGTACATGGATTCAAGCTTTCCACACTAAACAAAACAGTAACGCCTAGCTAATACTTTTATTAAATATTGTTTTTAAATATTATATTGTTATAAATTAAATTTATTAAACATTAAATATTCTATTAAATAATATTGAGAGTTGTTATTATTATTAATATGTGCTTTGCTCTTACCCACTTCCATCCACCAGAAAAATGAATGAAAAATACAATACAGGGCACTTTCAATCTAGGCCATTCAGTTGCTAATAAAAATGCAAGTTTTTCCCCTAAATAATTTCCTGTGAATTGGAGGTGGGTGGGCATTTACACAGAGTAGAAGGGGCTCCTGCAAATGGCTGCCAATGTTGGTGTGGATGCTTTCGAAGATTAGTTTGAGAGGACCTCATCCTTGCTTCAAGAAGGATGCATTTCAACCTTTTTGATTTAGTCCCTAAACTGGACTTTTCTCTTTTTTCCCCCTTCTCTGTCTTTTTAACCAGTTATAGTTAGCAATTCAAGTGGAGCGTGGCTGCATCTCTCAGTCATACACCTAGACATTTATGTGTGAGGGAGGCATCTCCTTGATTGTTTCAGCTGGAGTTAGCAGCATAGACTGCTTTTGGAGGAGAGAGTCATCTTAAATTCAGGGTTACTTATTTTTAGATAAATATAGGAAGAAAAATGTCATTTCAACAACAACAATGACGAAAACCCTCCAGCCATAAATTGATATAGTATGTAGTGTTTTTTAGAGATATTTCTGGTGATCTCACTGAGCTTCTGGTCTGTGATTCAGATACTCTTCCTCCCCCCACCCCATGTGGTTCGGTCTTTGTAAATCTGTGAGAGCAAGCATTTTCATGTCAGCGTGTCATCTCCCACTGCTCACTCTAGATAGGAGTCGCCCTTAGGGTTGATGTTTCCAGGTCCACTTCTTGTTTTTGGATACTGGTGACTTTAAATACTCATGAAACCAGCACTGAGACATCTTCAAGTAAGGCCATAACTGATTAACACAGAGCAGAAGAAGAATCACAGTCCTTCTTGCGGAAAGGTAAAATAATGAGTATAATTATATCAAAAGGGCATAGTTGTTGGTGGTATCTCAGATGTGCAAGAGTCTCCCTAGAGGTTTGCTTGGTATGTTTCTGATGTATTTTTCCACATCTGGCCTGTTAAGCAGTTTCATCTTCTTTCTCGCTTTTAAGCTTTCAAAGGGTGAACCTTTTTCGTTTAAGGCTGTGTTTAATTTTTTTTTTTTCCAACATATTGAAAAGAAGTTATGTAGAGGGGGTCAAGATTCTTTATGTTTGTCTCTCAGCAAGATAACGGACCAAAAACTGAATAGAACAGGAAGGGGACTGGCTGACAAAGGAGAGATCAATTTTGAAATAGCTGGATTAGACAGGGAACTGTGGAGGAAAACGTTTCTCCAAATTCCCTCAAAGCATCCCTATAGCACTTGAGCAGTGGCTTCAAATGTTGGTGACTGTTCCATTCTGAGCCTTCTTTGTGCTGATCACATAACCAGAATGGAGCACATGTGGCCCAACCCTCTGCTTCCCAGTGTGTGCAGTGATTGATTAATTGACTGATTATGGTGTCGTCAAGTCAGCGTCGACTCTTAGCAGCTACACAGATAGATTTTCTCCAGGACTGTTTGCTCCCAACCTGGTCCTTCACGTCTTCTAATGGAGCACTCATTGCCACTGTAATTGAGTCCCAGTGTCTATGTACATACAGACATCCATTTATTTATTAAACATTATTATTTTATTTATTAAACATATTTCTGTGCTGCCACAATCAAAAAAAAGACTCTCAGCAGCTTACATAGAAAGCATGTTCTGCATTCCTTACAATTATTGCCTATCCCTTGTCTTAAGTCATCAGCCTAGCCCTTCAGCTGTTTTGTTCAGCTAGAACTCCCATCCTCCCTAGGCATTGTTAAGCTGCCTTGAGGTTCTCCATCTTCCCTTCTGAAGCAGCACAGCCACTAATACTGAAAAGGAAGCATGTCAGGGTTTTTGAATCTTCAGTTAATACTGGTGACTTCACTCTTGGGGTATACAGACCACCAGACTTTCATGCCAACTTCTAAAAAGACCAGTTGCCTGTCATTTTCTTGTGTTTTCTCTTGTGCAGGTCTCTCAGGCAGCTGCAGAGCTTCAGCAGTATTGTATGCAGAATGCTTGCAAAGATGCTTTGCTTGTTGGAGTTCCAGCTGGAAGCAACCCATTTCGAGAGCCCAGGTCCTGCGCTTTGCTCTGAAGACAGGTAGAAGGAAGTCCGTGGCTGTGTTAAATACGTAGCGTGCGTGTGCGCACACCTGTGCGCGCGCGCACTCTCTA